CCTCACACTAAGCATGCTTGTAGCGACAGTGGAGAGGAAAAACTCCCTTTGAACAGGAAGAAACCTCCAGCAGAACCAGGCTCAGTTTATCTTATTTCACTGGCAAATATTTACCTGCTCAAATTAACGGAAAATACAGTTATAAAAAAAGGCTTGCTCATATTTCAGTTTTTGCAGTGTAATTGGATTGCTGAGTGTTCAATAAAAGTAAATTAAGCCTTAATCACCTGCTATGTTAAAATGTTTTAGCTTTTAAGAATTAAACTTATACCTTTTAATGTAAAAAGTGAAATATGAGTAATTTGTTCTTGAAATAAATGTATTTCCCCTTGTTTTGAACAGTCAGTATTAGCTAACTTAATGGGGTGATGTTTAGAATAAGAAAAAACAACTTTATTATCTTATTTTAGGTAGATAATATCTAAATCTGTTATTCTATGATGCATTAAAATGTAGAGTTGCTTCGAACGTTCTATCCTTTGTTATATTTTTCACCCATGGACGTCGCCATGTTTACCTGAGCAATGCATGCTGGGTTGATGATGCGTTTATGTCGTATTGAGCTGGAACTTTTAGAGTGATAACAGGAAGGCTAACATTAGCAGAGCTGTTTATTATCTTATTCTGTTTAACTGGTGTAAAATTAGACAATGAAACTACATCCCTGCCTCAAAGTTATCATAAAACAAGCTAATGTGATCTGCTGTTTATTGTATTAGCTAGAGCTAACACCGTTAGCAGAGGCTAACATGAAATCAAAATCATATCTTAGGATAATGAATGACTGTTTAAAGGATCAGTTAAGCATGTTCCAGATGCTAACCGCTAACAGCCTCCGTTAGAAACTGGAGCTCTATGTAGCATAGCGCTCCATCTGGGTTAGCATCTGCTAGCAGCAGCCACACAAACACCAGCTTCTTCATCTTCATCACCTCTTGTTATTCCTTCCTTCTCCTCATCCTCTACGCGCTTCAGGTCACGCTGAACGTTTTAACGTTACTCGTCGTTGTTTAAGCTAACGCTACAGGAGCTAGCCTGCACACGATATCTGTGTGAAAATACTTTATTTAAATGTGTTAAAACTTAACAGCTAACATCATTTTTAGTGTTTTATTGAAAGCAAAAGTGGAATAAATATTTTTCAAATACAATCTTTTGTTTTAACTTAATCTAATTAGCTCATAATTAATAATCGTTTTATTAGCAGATGGTCTTAGAGTTTCATTGGAACATTAAAAAAACGGCGCCGCGGTCGGCCAGACTGAAGGACGCGTCTCACAGCGCCGCCTTCATCTTTATAAAGTTGTTTTTTCTATGATAAAGAATCTCTGTAACAGCTAAAATGTCTGCCTCCTCAGAGACGGTACGGCGGGCCCCACGTGGTACAGAACCCCTCCCCCAGAACCCCCCCACCATCGAGCTACGGCACCGCCGCTCTCGCTCCCGCTCCCCCCACAACTCGGCTCCAAGAAGATCCCCTTTGGAGCCCAACCGCCCTCGGTCCGCCAGCGAGGACCCCCTCCACACCTTCTCCCAGCTGCCTGACAGCAACCACCACCTACCAGAGGACATGTACCCCCTGTCCGTGTCTCCGGCGGCGCCCAACGGCCCCTGCGCCACGCCCAGGGAAGCCCCCAGCCCCGGGGTCCAGGAGGCGGGCCCTCCTCGCGTCATCCAGCTCATGCCCAGCACCATCCTGAACCCTCTGCTCCTCAGCCCCAACAGAGTGGTGGGCGGCGGCGGCATGGACTTCAGGCACAGCCGCGGCGGCCCCCACTCTCAGGCGGTGATGGAGAACGGCCGCGAAGGCAAAGTCCACGTCCACCATCACCAGCTGCAGCAGCAGCATCTGCTGCAGCAGCAGCAGCAGGAGGAGGCGCTCTACAGGAACCACGTCATCATGCCCGTGTCTCCTCCTGAGGAGCAGCAGATGCCCATCGGGCGGATAGCAGGTGAGACCCTCAGGACGCCGTCCCGCCTCCGTCCTTTGATCCGCTCTGACTTCCTCCTGTCCTCTGTCTGCAGACTGCAGGCTGCTGTGGGACTACGTCTACCAGCTCCTGTCAGACAGCCGGTACGAGAACTACATCCGCTGGGAGGATCCCGACAATAAAGTCTTCCGCATCATGGACCCCAACGGCCTGGCCAGGCTCTGGGGGAACCACAAGGTTTGCTTCCTCCTTTCCTTCCTCCTCTCACCCAACTTCCTGTCCTTTCCTCCTCTTCCTTGCTGCTTATTTTCTCTAGGAGCAGAACTTTACATGCAGTGGCCACGCCCCCCCCTGGCCTCCCCCCTGGCCTACGTTCAGACCGCGCGCAGCAGGAGCAGCAAAAACACGCATTCTGCTTAATTTTTGATGCTTGTACCAGTTTAGTTCTGACGCGCGGCTGAATCATCTTTGCTGCTCTAGCTGCGCGGTGCTAAAATGGGTGTGATGCACGGTGGGCGGAGCTACTC